GTCCAGTGTGTGGAACCCACGTCAGAGTCTCACAGTCATCTCTGGGAATAAGACCAACTGGGAAAGTCTCCTTAAAATGCTGCCACCTGAGCTGGAGCCATAGCACAGCGGGGAGGGTGTTTTCCTTGCACACGGTCAACCTGGGTTTGATTCCCAGCATCCCATATGGTCCCCCGAGCTCTTCCAGGAGTAATTCCTGAATGCACGAGCCAGGAGTAACCCCTGTACACTGCTGGGTGTGACCCAAAAAGAAAAAATATGCCAATAGCCAGGCCGGAGCCATAGCACAGCGTGGAAAGCATTTGACTTGCATGCGGCTAGCCCAGGTTCGATCCTGGGCATCCCATACATCTGACAGGGGGTGATATTCAGAAATACAGTGTCCCCATTTAACCTGACACCCGGAGGGCAACCAATGCATTAAAACATGAGCAAAGAGCTGTGAGTGGACCGAGCGGCCTGTGGATTCTTCACTGCTGACTTATCAGAGAAAACCTGCCAAGTCAGATACGGACCTTGGTGGGTAGATCATGAAATGGCACAGACAGTGATGGGGTAAACTTTACTCCTCAAGGGAACCAAGGGCCGAGATCACAGGCAGTCTTAGGCCCTGTAAATCGAGGTGAGGGTGCAAACATCCAGCAGGTTTCACAGAGAAACATGGGCTTATGCAGAACAAATAGAAACATTTCAGAAATATATTTAATAATTTTAATTTTTTATCTTTTGTCTTTGAGCCACACACCTGGCAAAGCAGGAGTCACTCCTGGTGGGGCTTGGGGGACCATATGAATGCCAGGTGACCAGACCAGTTCAGCCACACACAGGCCAGTGCCCTGTTGGCTTCTTGCTGTGGTTCTAACTCAAATGTTCTAATTAGCTCACAGCTTGAATTTTTGTTTGTTTGGGGACCACACTTGGCTATGCTCTGGGCTTACTCCTGGCTCTGCACCCAGTGATCACTCCTGGCTCACTCAGGGCACCGTTTGGAGTACCGGGGATCAAACTCAGGTCTACCACGTGCAAGGCCAGTGCTCTCGCTGCTGTTGACCTGAGACCTATTTTTCAAGTGTAGTTTTCCTCTGGTGGCTAGACAAGCACGGTGGGCAAGGTGCCGACTCCCGCGGCTGACTGGAGCCTGTGGGGTGGATCTGTTTATCGGTTGGGAGGGTGGAAGGAACTTTGATTTATCCACACAATCTTTTTTTCACAGTTGCATTATTCAAGAGTAAGAGTCTTCTTGTTTCCTGTGACCTTGGAAGGTAATTGTGGACTCAGAACACAAGGCCCCATCCAAAATTGATTTAACTCCTAAGGGTCCATCTTGATGGACCCTTGTAATAGCCACTCAGCTCAGCTGCTCCCTAATTCCTGACTTGTAATCACAAACTAAAAAAAAAACACCTGAAAATATGCAGTAAGTTACAAAAGACATAAATTCTATCTTCAAAATGCTACTAGAAACCAATTTACATTTCTGACCAACTGACAACAAGAAATTAGCACCGGAGATGAGATTTTGAATTTGTTCTCTGTTGCAGTCCAGTCGAGCAGAGTGATCACAAAAGCATCCCAGATGAGGGATGCTTAGCGAAGAGAATTGTCGCCACCCATGCTAGGCCAGAGGGAGGAGCAGAAATGGACAGCTGGCGGCGCTGACTGTTGTCACCTCCTGGGCAGACAGATAGGCAGATGCTGGCCAGCCCTGCTGGTGCTGGTGCCTCGTGGCCACAGTGAGTCGCAGCACCAGGGCTGACCTGACACAGGAGCAGGATTTCAAATCAGTCACAGAAGGGTTTGACCGCACTTTGCTGGCCCAGGGCACTCACAGGTGAAGAGGCATGGGGCAGCCTAGCCGGTAAGCTGAGAAAGCAGCTTCTGGATCCCAGGAGGAACTGTTGTATTATATACTATAATGGTGTGTATATAGGTGGTGTGGCTGGGGAGTGCTAAGGAAGACAAACAATCCCCGAGTCTGGAGTTGCGTGTTAAGGAACCAGAAATAGGAACAAAGCCCCCTTACTCCCTTTTCCTCTTTCTCGTGGAGCCGGGGATTGCCGGCCAGGCCCTCGCATGTGTGAGGTGACACAAAGTTCGCATTCTAGCGCTGAACTCCATCCCAACCTCACCTCTCCTTCCTGTTTTTTTTTTCTTTTTTGGTCACACCTGGCAATGCACAGGGGTTACTTCTGGATCATGCACTCACAAGTTACTCTTGGTGGTGCTCAGGGAACCATATGGGATGCTGGGAATTGAACCCGGGTTGACTGTGTGCAAGGCAAACACCCTACCTGCTGTGCTATTGCTCTAGTCCCACCTCTCCTTCCTGACAGGACAGTTAGAAGCAGGAAGAGGTGGTGAGTCTGGACAGTGTAGGATAAGTACCTGGCCTAGCATCTTTAGAAGAAAAGGTGTAATATCATTATATCGCTTGTCACTATCACCTCGTTGTTCATCAATTTGCTTGAGTGGGCACCAGTAACGTCTCCATTTGTCCCTGTCACGTGCTAGTGTAGCCTGATGGCATACTGGGGGCTCTTTCAGGGTCAGGATAATGAGGACCATCTACTGTTCTTGGCATATCAAGTATGCCATGGGTAGCTTGCCAGGCTCTGCTGTGCAGGCAGGATACTCTCGGTAGCTTGCCGGACTCTGCGAGAGGGATGGAGGCTTTTGGGGCAGCCTCTAATCACCTTTACAGGTGTCCCAGTCAGGCATATATATGCGGGCAGGATACTCCTAGTAGTTTGCCAGGTTCTCTGAGTGTGAGAACTAGAGAATAAGAGGTCGCGCGGCTGAGCTTGGACCAGCCTTACACATGAAGGAACTGGCAGAGGAACCCAGATGTGTGGGACCCGGGGCTGAGATCTCCATGCCTGCTCGGTTCGGGATTGGGCCTCCTCCACCCAGATCCCCCATCTTCCAGTAGCTAGACAGTTACACCCACCAACTGCTGTGTAACCCCATCAACGGCCAGGATAGAGAGACTATAAAACCAAGATCCCAGAAGAGAACAACACAGAGTCTCCTGCCCCCACACCTGGCTGTCCTCACTGGGGCCTCTTGGAGGAGGGTGGGTTGAGTTTCCCTCTCCGCCCTGAGCAGAGCCCAGCAGCTGAAGACTTCTGGGACCCAGCCACAGCCATGCTGAGACAACTCTTCACACGCTTGGACAAGCCTCATGCATGAAGGAACTGGCAGAGGAACCCAGGTGTGTGGGACCCAGGACTGAGATCTCCAAGTCTGCTCGGTTTGGGACTGGGCCTCCTCCATAATCACACATATTAATGATATATGTGAACATATTTGAAACCAAGAGGAGCTAGTAAGGACAGAAGGAGCATTACTAGCCTGGATCAAGAGCTAAGTAGGAAGTGGAAGGATCAGACGAGAGAAGATGGACCAGCACACAGAGAATCAGAGGAGGCATGAAGCAGCAGAGCACGGGGCTTTTCCTGAGGGAGACGGGCTGGCCAGAGCCGGCTGCCAAGACGGGTGCAAGCAGATGGAACCCGGATCACAGGGTCACTGATAACGAGTGGCAGTGATTCCAGGGGTGGGAGAGAGCGCCAGGATGGAACAGAGGCCCTCAGAGTACCAGGCACTGAATTCTGTCCCTGGTTTCACTGCCCGGAGCCCTCCCAACCCCTCAGCATGCCCGGGTACTGCCTCCATGCCACCTGGGCAGTGCCAGGCCCAAGCAGGGCCGCCAATGGGGTCCTGAGGCACAGAGCCCGCCAAACAGGCATAGCCCAGAGTCCCCGTGTCTGCCCACAGGCTCTTAGGTGGGGAAACATCCAGGGACGGGCTGACAATGGAGTCTGAGGAGACACACGGAAGCTCTGAATTACGGCACAGGTAGGGCCACCCTGGCATGAACACCGTATTTATTTTTAAACTTCGAAAACACAGCAGGAAGGAGTTAAAAAACAGAGAACTAGAATTTCACCACCAGATTAAGCTTTTCCAGGAACAAGGCTTATTTAAATGCTTACAAGGAACAACCTATCGAATATCTAATTTCTTAGAAATTTCACCATTCAATCCTCCTAGATCATTTTAGTTAGGTCACAGGTTCCTGAAAGTAATTTTCTCGTCTAAGCTAAGCAGCCTGTTTAAAAAAAAAAAATTCTTTGTGTGCATTTCCCCCGACTACTTTCTGCTGGAGATTCACTCAGACTCGCCATCTCCTCATAACCAGCAGCTCAGTGTCGACTACGAAATGTGACTGAAATGTTCATTTCACGCTGGTGCTTTTAGTTTGGACTCTCGTGCCTGCCACACTGCTCTAGGATTTCTCACAACTTTTCAATAAACCGTGAAGGACGTGGTTTCTTCCAGCGTCTTTACCCCCGTCATCCCGTCCCGTTCTTCTGTGTCTCCTTCCGTACCCTGGTCCTGGTATACGGCCGAAGGGTGACAGACCTGAGGGGGGTCTATGAAGTGGGGTTGGCTCACATCACTTCACTGTAAACGGTGGATGGAAGCACCCCACTAAGACAGCTTAGCAGCTTTCTCTGGGGAAATTAATGTCTGTCAGGTGCAGGCCTGTTGCTGCAGAAGCCTGCGCTCATTTCTCAGAGTTCTCTCCCTTCCTTTCTCTCTCTCTCCATCCCCCTCTCTCCTTCCCTTCCTCTCTCCATCTCTCTCTCTCTCTCTCCCTCTCACTCTCTCTCTTTCTCTCTCTCCACTGCCTGGTGAATTTGCCGCATGGATGCTGGCCTACAGATTCACGTCCACGCAAATGATCAGTATGTCCAATGGGCAGGGACGGCTCCAGACCCTTCCATGTGGATTCTGTCTCTTCAGCGCGAGCTGGTCATGGCGCTCCCCATGGCACCTGCTGAAGGGGCTGCAGTTTTCATCACCTGTGATGTGCGTATGCCGTGTTACCTCAAGTCGGAGCAGCGGCCAGAGTCCATGGTGGCCCTCCCCGGGCCGTGGGTAACCTGGTGGCGCCGTAGGGCAGAGCGCTGGCTGAAGGCTCTGGGACACTGGCTTCAGGCGTATGGCCTCTCCCCAGTGTGCGTGCGCTCGTGGCGCCGCAGGGCCGAGCACTTGCCGAAGGCCTTGGCACAGCGTGGGCAGAAGGGCTGCTCGCCCGTGTGCGTGTGCTCGTGCTGCCGCAGGTTGGACGACTGGCTGAAGGTGCGGCCACAAAGGTGGCACGTGTAGAGCCGCTCCCCGGTGTGCGTGAGCCTGTGATTCCTCAGGTCGGAGCTCTGGATGAAGGCGTTCCCACACACGCAGCACACGAACGGCCACTCGCCCGTGTGGCTCATCTCGTGGCGCCGGAGGCCCGAGCAGTTGCTGAAGGCTCGACTACAACGCAGGCACTGCCACACCCTGGCCCCCGGCTGTGGCCGCTCACGGAGGGGCCTCTGCTCCTACCCGCCTGCTCAGGACTTCCTGCGGATGCCATCTTCCTTGGCCCCACACTCCAAGGCCTCTGCTGGGCCGCAGGGCCGCTGCTTTGGGGGAGCACATGAAAGGCTCGTGGTTTTCCCAAGCACATGCAGCTCTTCACTGTCCTGCATGTGAAGCAGAAATCAAACTTATTACCCCTGAAAATACACCCAGTGTTACTCACATGTACATGATGTGTTACTCTGCTGCACAGACAATTTTCTTTTTTTTTTGGGGGGGGGGGGGGTTGGCAGAGGGCAGTCACACTTGACAATGCTCAGGGTTACTCCCAGCTCCACACTCAGGAATTACTCCTGGGGGTGCTCAGGGGACCATATGGGATGCCGGGGATCGAAAGGGATGACTGTTTGCACGGCAAGCACCCTCCCTGCTGTACCATCTCTTCAGCCTCCCCTTAACATACAAACTTCAGAGTTTATAGCTCACTTTGGAAGATTTAAGTATGTTTTAAAGACTAGCTACATGAGTAATATTTATGCAACTATAAGACTTCAGATGATGGTTTTAAGCTCAGGTTAATTTCTTCACGAAATTCAAACTGTCTCCTTTCTTTTTTTAAGTCAGAAAAAATTTAATCTCAATTTATTTATTTGGTTTTTGTTTTTAGGCCATACCTGGAAGTGCTCAGGGCTTACTCCTGGCTCTGTGCACAGGGCTCACTCCTGGCAGGCCAGGAGGGACAATATGGGGTGCTGGGGATTGAACCTGGGTTGGCCACGTGCAAGGCAAACCCCCTCCCCGCTGTTCTATCGCTCTGGCCCCTTAATCCCAAGTGAATGCAAGTGAGGTAACTATGCTGAGATGGTGAGACCCCGCTCCATGGCACTTCCCTTGGAGATACTCAGAGACTCACCACCACGTTTGCAGATGGCCTCTTCCTGTTCCTGTGCTCTAGGGCTGTCATTTCTTGTTCTTTTAGAGCATTTTCCCTGCCTAAGATAACTGGGAATAAACACAAATATTTAGAATGTCATTAGGAAAAAGTGTTGAAAAGCACCTGGGACCATATGGGATGCTGGGAATCAAACCCAGGTTGGCCGCGTGCAAGGCAAACGCCCTACCCGCTGTGCTATCACTCCAGCCCCTAGATGGAATATTTTAGAAGTAGACAATAGGGCACTGGAAATATTTAGGGTTGAAATGTGAAAATATCAGAGTAAACATTAGGAGAAAGCAAGGTGAGGAGAGCAGAACTTTCCCAAGGAGAGGGTCAAGAGTCCCGGCTAAGTACATACATATCACATCCACCAGGCCAAGGGCAACGGTAGAACAACACACATACTGGGACTGTTAGGAAAAATGACAATATTCACAAATTTGCTCTGCCTAGTCTTTAGAGAAAATATCATTCATTTAATAAAGTCTCTGCCGCCATTTTTCAGGCTCTCTCCTCACTGAGAACCACCGAGCACATGTACATCTCTTGAGAACCACTGACCACAGGTACATCTCCTTCCTGAGAACCACTGGCCACAGGTATGTCTCCTTCCTGAGAACCAATGGCCATGGGTATGTCTCCTCACTGAGAACCACTGACCACAGGTATGTCTCCTTACTGACAACCACTGACCATGGGTACGTCTCCTCACTCATAACCACTGACCACGGGTACGTCTCCTCACTGAGAACCATTGACCACAGGTACGTTTCCTCACTGAGAACCATCATTGACCACAGGTACGTCTCCTCACTGAGAACCACTGACCACAGGTACATCTCTTGAGAACCACTAACATGGATATGTCTCCTCACTGAGAACCACTGACCACAGGTACATCTCTTGAGAACCACTAACATGGGTATGTCTCCTCACTGAGAACCACTGACCACAGGTACATCTCAGAGAACCACTGATCACGGGTACGTCTCCTCACTGAGAACTGATCATAGGTTCGTTGATCACAGCCATGTCTCCCTGCGGAGGGCTGCTGGCCACAGGCACAGGGTCTAACTCACTTTCTGCTCTCACCTGCACTCTGGTCCCGGGGAAATCTGCTTCCCACACTCCACAGCTCTTCTTGTTCCAAAGGGTAAGGCAAGTCAGATGTGGATGCTGGTAGCCTGTCTGCAGGGGAAGGGAGATGAAGTCTGACTTAATGCTAGTGAAAGTTGTGACCAAATTCAAGGCAGGCACCTGAGGAAATGCTGACATTCCACCCGAGCACTAATACTGTACAGAGAAAACACCAAAAACCACACACCCTGCTGCCCCCTAGAACCAAACAAACGCAAAAACCCAAGATGTCATGGTCTGGGTGCCCACAGGCACGCACAAGTTCAAGTTCAGAGGCAATATGCACAATCCTGCCTTTTCTCATCAATGTAGAAATTAGACGTCTACACTGTGAAATGAATTATTACTTGAATATAAGCTCTGCGGAAATGGCTAAAGTTTGTTCCCACTCAGCATAGCTTCAGGCTTCTGCACGGTGACTAAGGACAGTCATCAGAGTCTGAGAAGCAGAAATGCAAACTTGGCTCAAGATTCCTTCTGGTGTGGAAGGAAACGAATGTAAGCAGGTACAGGACACTGGCATTCACACAGGCAGAGTCTGTGGAAGAAGCGGGGCAGAGGCTGGTGCTGAAGGGCCACCACCCGACTCACCCACGGACACCAGGTAGCCCAGAGTCTCCAGTGTCACTTCTCTGAAGAGCTTCCTCTGAGTCGTGTCCAGCAGGGCCCACTCCTCCTGGGTGAAGTCAATGGTTACATCCTCAAAGGTCACCGCTGCCTGAACTGGGGAGATCCTGGCTCAGACGGTCCCTGACATTCCGAGCAGAGGTGAACTGACCATCCCGAGGCAGGGCGGCAGGGTGAAAGTGTGGAGAGCCAGACCTGGGGCCCACACCAACCTACTTCCCACATCCACCTCTGGGTTCGAGTCTGAATGGAGCCTGTTCTGAAGGCCGCCCGGAGTGGCAGCAACGACCCTAAGGCCTGTGACTAGCATATCAGCACTTAAAAATTCACCATGAAAACTCGAAGCAATCACAAGTGATTTTACCTTCATCGTGAGGCAAATAACCTCTTTTCAATGGTGGGCATTTCCCTCAAATTCCTCATTTGTGGAAAGGCTGAACAGCTGTTATGAGTGTTGAAAGATTCAAAAACTCAGGGATAAAATTCCTCCCACACCAACCTAGTCATGAAATGCCTGTGGCCAACAGCAGCCCTTGGCACTCTCTGGACTCACAGAAATAGGTTCCAGGCAAGACCTGCCCCCTGTGGCACAGACTTGGCAGGGCAGGACTCAAGCACATGACAAGTCATGATCAGTGCACGGGGCTGGGGCTCGAGACCATGAAGTTCCACGTCTGCTGCTCAGGGCCCTCGGGCCTGTCTCCCGTCTCCTCTGACCCTTGCTAAGGGGAAAAGAGTCTCCACTGGCTTTGGGCTATCCAGTTCTTAGAAGCCTTCCATGAGGATCACAACTTTCCCTCTGTTCCTAAGTATGTACCCACGGTGGGGGCCCATCACCCCCTGTAGGCCGATTCCAGGGACCCCCAGGAAGGCTAACAGAAACAGGTGTGTATGTGGCAGGAAAAAGAACGAGAATTTTTTTTTTTGGGGGGGTCACACCTGGCAATGCACAGGAGTTACTCCTGGTCTATACACTCAGGAATCACTCCTGGCGGTGCTCGGGGGACCATATGGGATGCTGGGAATCGAACTTGGGTCGGCCATGTGCAAGGCAAATGCTCTACCCACTGTGCTATTGCTCCAGCCCCAAGAACGAGAATTTTATCAGTATGTTTAAGAGGATTGTTTTCGCCGTCTCTTTAAGAGGATCCTTTTAGCTGTCTTATTTCCAAAGTAAGCACGTGTGCCTGCTGACACTTACTTATGGGCGCACGGATGCTACTGCAGTCTGCCAGGTGCAAACCACAGTGCAGGCACCAGCATGGTCCGACCAGGAAGGAGAAGGGGGTCACTGCGCTGTCTTCCCCGGCCTGAGTGTTCTACCAAGCCCACACCTCATGAGACCGTCCCCTCGTGCCTGTGGCCCTGGTGACGCACCTCCTCGCTGCATTCTGTTTGCCTTCATCACCTGCATCCACCACGTGGACCTTTATTGCCCACAACATGATGAAGAGGTGCCTGGTCTCCTGGTGAGGCCGCGGGCGGGGACGGGAAGTTGGGGAGCCCTACCCTAGTCCTCTAGGGAAACAGCGAGTAGGCGTTGGAGGGATGTTTGTTGTTGGGCTCCTGTCCACTACAACCCACGGAGCCTCAGGGAGTGTCGCTGCAGCTCGGCGTCCTGTGTCAGCAGGAAGTCCCCTACAGAGGACACCAGTGTCCACTCACCAGAGGCCACATGGTCGGGGTCAGGGCAGCGGCTCCTTGGCTTCACGCTCGCTCTCCCGGCACCACGCAGGCAAATCTGAGGAGACACAGAGGAGCCCAAAGCCCTGAGTCCCATTTCCAGCATCCCTGGCCTTTGGGTGCCCATCCCACCGGCCCGTAGCTGTGCTCTCCCTCGCCTAGCATCAAGAGGATGGATGCTCCAACAATGGGCGTGGAGGTGAAATGTGGACACAGGCTGAGAAGTAACTACCTCTGAAATCACGGGAGGAAGGGGCCAACCTGAAAGCTCCAGCTGTACACGGCTCGGGCAGACTCACCACGCCCCCCACACCAGCCCACCCAGGCTTGCCCGGAGGCCGTTCTGAGTCTGCCCAAACGTACCTGCAGGGTGTCGGTGCAGTTCACTCAGCATCCTCCGACGTGGACAGGCTCTGCAGAGGAAGAAACTGGCTCTCATGTCCCCAGCCGAGCCCTGCGCTCAAGGCTTCACCTGGACTTGCTGCATCGGGGCAGAAAGCGGGTCAGTCGCTCCCACTGTGACCCTTTAGGGTACCTGGACAGGCCGGGAGCTCTGGACCCTCTCAGGCCCCTGCTCTTCTCAAAGCAGCGAGGATCCCGCGCGGGTCCATACCTGGACATCCGAATCATCCCTGTGGTATGCGTGAAGGACAATGGCTCCAGTATCTCAGTGGCTGGCGGTGCCTGGGCGGCTGCCAAGGTTCGCCGGCTGTCCACTATCCACATGGGCTGCAGTGATGAATCGGAATCCTCATCTTGGGGTGAGCCGGGGGGACCTGGAGAGTTGTTTAAGGGCCAGGGCGGCGGTCAGCTTGATTCTGGACGCCGTCCCCTCCGCGTTCCCTTCCTGAGTCACCCATAGGGAAGACAGAGGTTGCGAGCAGCTCTGAAAGAGAAGTCTCAGGCTGATACAAAGATCTCACAGCTGGGGAGAGCAGCCGACATCCACGGCAGTTTTCGTGCCTGAGAAACACCCCACAAATGCTGTGTACTGGCTGGGGTACCCGTGCACCTGGGAGCACTGACTCGTCAGCCCCAAACTTCCCTGGCACACCATTCAGGAAGAAAATGTACTCTGTGCTCCCTGATTATGAAGGAAAATCCTATGCAGGGACAATATCCGAGGCTCCTGACACAAGACACAGGACAACTCTACAGTTGGAAGGAAGAGTGTGTGCCGGCATTTTGGGGCATTACATATTTTTTCAAAAAAAATTATGTAAAGAAATCTTTTAAATCTTTAAATTTTATTTAAAGAGACTCTTTAACCACAGGGAAAAAATGGGGGGGAAATGCTGAAAAGTTAGTCCTGTGGACATCTGGTCTGAAATAAGGAAGAGAAAAAAAAATAGTGAAAATGCGGGGACAGTGTGTGATCAGTGCCTGAGGGGACAATGCAGGGTCCCGGCGCCCACAGTGGGACAGTGCACGGTCCAGGCTCAGCAGGGGGACAATGCACCGTCCAGGAGCCTGCGGGGCGACAGTGCGCGGTCAGGTGTCTGCAGAGGGACAGTGCAAGGTCCAGGAGCTCACGGAGGGGAGGGGGGAGCGGGGGTACACAGTACGAGGTCAGGCGCCCGCAGAGGGTCAGTGCACGGTCCAGGTCCTGCAGTGGGAGAGTGCCTGGTCACTAGGCGCCCGTGGGGCCCCAGAGCTCCCCAGGGCAGAGGCGACAGACTGCAGATCTCCGAACATTCCAGATCCACCGCGCGCCCATCCCCGGGGACGGCCCATCACAAAGAGGCTGCCGGGCGCAAAGGACGCGGCCACCGGGGGTCTAGCGCAGGTCCACCCTCCCGGCGCCGTCCCAAGCGCGGGTTCTTACCGGATGGTGAGCTCGGATGCTTGGTTCTCCCGGGGATCCTCTCCCGCCACGTCCACCTGCGGCGCGGAACGGTACACGCCGTCCCCAGAACGGCGCACTTCCGCCGGACCGCGGGGAACGGGACCTACACAGGTCGGGGCGGGCGCACTTCCGCCGGAAGACGCAGGGCGGGGCGAGCGCTCTGTGGACAGAAGCGGAAGTGTCTGGTGGGCTGGGCCCAAAGTGAGCTTGGCGGGAGGCGGAGCCCTACCTGGACCTGACGGCCTATTAGAGCGAGGGTCAGCGCGGTGGGCCCGCACCCCGAGTGACCGTTCCAAAACCTTCCGGGAACCCTGGGCTCGGGCAGCCCCTCCGGTTGGGTCCCGCGGACCACTTCCTGCGATTTCTCTGTAAAGCTACAGCCTGGCCTGGCGTGGGTCACTGTGGTCGCCGACCTTCCAGCTGTCCACCCGCACACACCCAAGCCTGGCCTGGTGTGGGTCACTGGTCGCTGACCTTCCAGCGGTGTCCACCTGCACAGGCAAAGCCATGGTAATTCATGAAAGCCGCACTCCAAGTTTATGCTCACTAAGAATGAATGTTAGATATATAAATAAAGGGTGTTGGGAGGATCCACCTAGGATGGGAGAAGCATGCTGAAAGTAGACTATAGGCGGAACATGATTGCCACTCAGTGCCTCTTTTGCAAATCACAGCACCCAAAAGGAGAGAGAGAACAAAAGGGAATGCCCTGCCACAGAGGCAGGGTGGACTGCGGGTGGGGGTGGGGTGGGAGGGATACTGGGATCAGTGGTGGTGGAGAAGGGACACTGGTGGAGGGATGGGTACTATGTCATTGTATAATTGAAACCCAAGCACAAAAATTTGTAAGTCTACAACTGTACCTCATGGTGTTTCACTAATAATAATTAAAAAAAAAAGAATGAATGTTAGAGTGTCCACCTAGGAGCCCTGTTTAAACACGTTTTCCTGAGTGCCACTTCATGCCACCAAGCTAAAATCTGGGAGTGCCTAACCAGCAGCATTTTTTTTCACTTTTTGGGTGACACCCCGCGATATTCAGGGTTTACCCCTGGCTCTGCACTCAGGAATTACTCCTGGTGCTAAGGAAACCCTACGGGATGCTGGGGATTGAACCCAGGTCAGCTACATGCAAGGCAAACGCCCTTCCCGCTGTGCTATGGCTCTAGCCCAGGTGACAGCATTTTAAGGAGACTTTCTCAGTTGGCTTTATTCCTAGTGATGACTGCGAGATTCTAACATGGGTTCCACACACTGGACAGCCAGGTGCTAGTAATGTCCACAGAGGTGACCCTGCTTCGGCCGAGCCTTCAGCCAGTGGCAGCTCTAAAGCTTCTGAACTCCATCCCAGACCCGCTGGCTCCATCTCAGAGTGTCTCCCTGGAGGAACTGTGTGACTCCCTGTCAGCTCTGAGGTGCAGAGCGGCGTATCTGCAGTGAGAAGCCTTCTGGAGAGTGGCCGAGTCCAGTGCTGATGAGAGAGCGGCCTGTGCTCGGACCAGGAGTGAGGGCCACGGCTGGGTACCTGGAGGGCTTGTGAAGGTGGGACATGATCACTCCCCAAACGCCCAGTCACTGCTGATACATGGGTTTCTCGGCAGAGCCTGGCCCACTGCCCATTCCAGGTCGGGCTCCTTTGTTCTTAGATTCTATCTCCTCCCTGGGTAGCTCCTGTTCCCATTTCACACAGGTTTCTTGCTGGAACTGTGTGTCCACTAGCAAGCTGGGCGCCCAGGCACACAAGGCTTCTCATCTCCTCTAAAGGTCGCCCCTGCCCAGGAAGCCCTGGGGAGGGCCAGTGGGCACGTACCGTCCAAAAATACAGAGTTTTATCTCTAGTTTGGGCCTTGAGCCTGAACCCGGGGGTCACCCTGGGCCAGCTCAGACCCCCTTAAACTAGCCGTCGTCCACTGCCCTGCACTCTCAGTCTGCCCCCACAGGCTCAGAAGCGGCTCCCCCCCGTGGGCCCAGAAGGTCCACCAGAGTAGATGGTGGGACAGCCGAGCAGGACACCAGGCTATGAGGGAAGCAGCCCCCTCTGCCTGCTTACACACAGGGGGGCATGTGGTCACGGGGTGGGGGCTGGTGGGAGGTGGGCACAGACCCTGTCAGGGGGAGGAACATTATGCCACAGCCTGGACACAAGGACTATGGGAACAAAGGGTAGAACTGCCCCTGCCGGTTCTCATAAACTGCCCAGGACACCATTTTGGTCCTTGGGCCCTGGACTGGCCTCTGAGTTCTCCTAAGGAAGTGGTGGCAGTATTGTCGTGTCTGATTCGATGGCACGTATTTGTGAGGTGAACAGACCCTTCTCTGAATTCTGTATGTGCCACACGTACTCAGATGGACTAAAGTGGCATCTTGAGTGTTCTCAGAAGTGACCCAGGAAGGGAACTTTGCAGGGGGTGGCAGAGCTGGGCCTTGCCAGGCTTGGGGGTGGGGGAAGCCAGGGCGGTGGGGGTGGGTGGGGGAGATGAGCTGCAGCTGGCCGGGCTCCCCAGTGGCAGGAGCTTCAGGGCCGCTGGCTGCTTTAGTGGGGCTAGCGATGACTTTGGGAATTTCCCTGCGAGGTCACAAATCATGATTTTGTTGTTTTCCTTGTGTTGCTCTGCCCCCACTTATTAGCTGTGCTGCCTTGGCAAAGAGAAGGTTTACCTGCGAAGAATTTGCTCCCCTAAAAAACTGTCCGGAGGGAAGCCGGGCCTGCAGTTTATTTTCATCACTCACCTCCTTCACTTCCAGGAGGCCGAGTCAGCCTGTGCGTCCGGCTGCAAACCCGCTGTTCACTGCCTCCCACTGGCAGTGGCACCGCCACATTCTGGCAGAAACCCTGCCCCTTCCTCCCCAGTTCTGTGTTGAAAGAGCACACGGTAAACAAACTGCACCTAATCTTTATTCATTAATCAGTCGGCAAAGGCATGTGCATCTTCACTGTCAACCTTCTGATTGGAAAAGCAAATATTGTGAGAATTAAGGGCAGCTTTCCAGCCCTTTATCTCAGGTTTCCCTTTGTTGGGGAGGGCTGATTCGAGATCATTTGTTGTTGTTGTTGTTTTTAAACAGCCCCCACGCACAGGCAGAGAAGGCTGTTGGGCGTGTGTGGGCTGGGGTCTGGGTGGGCTAGGGATAGGGGCCGGCCATGGCTGTAGCTCCTTCGGCATTGCTCTGGGCCAAAGGCTGCCGCCTTGGGACCTAGTGGGCTGCAGCGGGAGCTTCAGTATTTCACCACGTTCCAGATGGTGGAATTCCATTTTCGCAAGCAGCACATGTTAGTGTTGGGACACTTTCCGATCTGGGACTCCTGCTCCTTGCACAGGACCCGGCAGACGGCCGTCCCATAGCCACAGATCCTGTTGATCTCCAGAGAACTTCCTGCTAAAGCACAAGGTGTCAGAGTGAGTGGCCGGACCTGAGACTGGGGGCAGAAGCAGCTTGTAATTCGGGGAAATGTGTGGTTGGGCAGACCCCTGGCCCCAGTCCCTTCCCCCATTCCTAGCTTCCCCCTTGACCCTCAGACCTTCAGGGTGATATTCCCATCAGAACTGGCCCATCCCCCCAATAGGCCCACCTCTCTCCCACCTGGCCACTCTCTCCTCCCACCAGCTCACCTTCCTCCCACCCAGCCTCTCTCCTTTCACGCCTGCAGCCCGGTCACTTCTGCTCTGTCCCGGAGCGCCCAAGCCCTCAGTCCTGGTCTGCATGGCCACTGGCTCTGTCCTTGCTCCTTCTGCCCAGTACCCTGGCCTCATGCCATCTCAGCACCTCCACACACGGTCCCCTGCCTGAAGACGTTTGGGTCTGGGGCCGCTCAGCAATCCTGGGCTCTGCTGTGTGGCCCCAATGTGGATGGGGCCCAGAGTGTGTCCCCAGCACCCTCAGCCACAGCATCGGGTTCCCCTGGCCCATGGTGGGGAGGCCTCGGTCTAGTGTCTCTTCAAGGAGGCTGGGAATGATGGCATCAAACCCGGGCTGTAGTCACTGTCTTGTATACTCGTGATTCTGAGACCCCTGGGACCAGGCTCGGCCATTACCTGCCCGTCTGTGATGGACAGGCCAGAGCAGAAGGGATTAGGTTTACTGTGCTGACAGAAGGCAGGGGACACTGCAGCGACTTTCCACAGCAGGGGCAGGGCTGGGGGATCCCTGGGCAGGGTCAGGGGCAGGGCTGCAGTAACCAGGGGCAGGGCAGGGGCAGGACTGTCCCACCTGCAGGACAGTCCACTCCCTGCACTGTCAAACCCATCTTGGTGTGGCTGCCCCCAGAAGCTGTCCTCGGTGAACGTTCTGAGATAGCCTGCAGGGCTGTCTGGCCCTGCTGTGCCTGCCCACTCATCCTGGGCAAGAACTCATCCCAAAGGGCTGCAGAATGTGGGACCCACAGTAGAGACCTGGAAGGAGAAAGGCCTCCGGACGGGAAGAACATTTGTCCACAGGCTCCCGGGACTTGTCACAGACACCGAAGGAGGCCATGGATACTCTGGGGGCCTCGGTCAGGCTGCGGCACCCACCCAAGTCTGCAAAGGGCTCCCCAGGGCTCGCTGAGGGCGACCTGCATCCTGATCCTCATGACCCCTTACCGCCTCCCCCCTCCACACACAGACACTGGGCATGGGACTACCTGGGCTCCAAGGCAGAGGCTGATCTACAGAGACTTTGGTTTCTGCCCAGGAGCCCACGGGGAGCACCGGACGCCAGAGCTGGGTTCCTTTGGCCCGATGGGCAATAACGATGCCAGGTGGGAAAGGTGCAAGTTCAAAGACCAGGACCGGAGCCTAGAGCTTGGGGTCAAAGGATATGAGACAGCAGGAAAGCCCTGGCGGGGGCCACTCTCTTCTGCCCTGGACACGACTGACCCTTGGGATATTATGCTGGATGGGGGCAGTGCCATGGCCAAAACTGGCCAGCCAGAGCAAAGGCCAGAACCTTGCAGATGTCTGCTCCAAGTGCATGCAGATCCCTTTCCCAGCAGGAGAACGAGGTTTGGCTCTGTCCACCAGGAGTGGGGAGACAGGAGACAGCCCGGGGCCTGCATGCAGCCTTCCTGCCCTGCTGGCTAGGCCCTGCAGAGCCCAGGCTCAGGGTCCATGGGGGAGAACCCAGGTGCAGCGCAGAGGGAGCGAGTCCCGATGGGAAGAACGTTATGTCACCGAGTCAGAGGATGGGCTCAACCTCCTGCTCTGCTCTGGACACTCGGACAGGCTGGGCGCTCGTCACCCCCCCAATCTCCTCCCTGGGAACAGACCAGCTGTGCCTTCTGAGGGACTAAGCTCTGCACGTGGCAACCCTGGGCAGGAGCCTGGCCACAGGGCACCCAATCCACATTCCTGCCTGCCAGCCCAGAAGCTTTGTTCCCAGGGTCACTCAGCTCGGCAGAAAAGAGGGTCCCGGGAGACGCTGGTGTGGAGCTGGAAGCGTGGTCCAGTTTGCGAGGCTTTGGGGACAGTCCATCTAACACCATATGCCTGAGGAACAGCATTTTCTGCTCTCCTGCTGGACCTGGTGTCCCGTCCAGAGCCAACTTGGTGCCCCTGGTTACACTCTCCCCCTCCCCATCTCTGAGACATCACTGCTCCTCTGGCCTTCTGTCCACGGCCTGGACATGAGGCCAGCCCCGGGCCCTACACCCACGGTAGGGCTGGGGCACCCCTTAATAACAGTGCCAGGAGCGGGGCCCAGCAGAAGCGGCACTGTGGGGTCGTCTCTGACAGCCAGTGCCCTGCAGGGCTGAGACCAGGGTGGCTGCCTCTCATGGGGGTCACACGGACACTCATGGCAGAGAGTCCCCGGCCAGGCGCCTTACCTGGGGCCACCCGGGAGAGGAGAGCCAGGAGAAGCAGCAGTGTCCTCATGCTGGCAGCTCTGTGGGACTCGGCGTTCTGAGGACAGCAGCTAATACCCACCCTGCTCCTGCCCAGCCGATAGCATCTTGACCGCTCACCCACGGTAGGAGGGAGGCGTTTCGTGCCGCGCGGCTGCAGCCCACACAGCCCAGAGTGTCCCTTGGTTCCAGCCTTAGCTGCTCTGGTTCCGAAATGGGGCCCGGGGCACAGAGCAGCCTATCAGAGCAGCAGGAACGGGGGTCTTAGGACCCGCATGTTGGCTCTCCTGTTCCTCAGTTGGCACTGGGAGCGAGTCAATGCTTGTAAGCACTGTGGGGTGGACACTTCATGTCCCAGGCTGACACACTGGGCTGGATGGAGTCTAGATCCCTGCCCTGAGCCATCTCAGCTGTGAGCCCCTTGATCACTTGAGGGTGTCTCATGTCTTTACTGAAAACTGTGAATCTCCATCAGGACAGAGAAATGCTGCCAGTGGAGCAGCGTCCTGCTTCCAGGTGTCATGCAAGAGGCGAAAACACAAATTCAAAAGCATCCACGTGTCCCTCATCCTCCTAAACACTCATGGATGGATGATGGTGCTAAGGGAGAGCTCTCTGGGACGGGTTCCCCAGATAAACCATGGCCCAACCTCTCCTGTACACCCCCCAGTTGAGTGAGGGGCCCAGCAGGACGTGGGGGCAGGCGAGGTGCAGACTCTGCTGTCCAGGATCTGGTCTGAGGGTGCACAAGACCCCGAGTAGCCCCCAGGAGGCTGTGGCGCCCACATGAGTGAGGGGCCCTGCGCCATCTCCAGGAGGTGCACTGGGTTGGTGACTCCTTTGTACGGGATGTGAGAGTTTCTGAATTTGGGGTTTGGACAAGAAAAGGGCAGGGGTTCAGGGGCCAGGGCAGTGCTGGGCAGCACGTGCATGGTTGCTGAGGACGAGGGCAATTCTGAAGACAGGGAATGAAGCCACCTCCCTCCAAGGATGAGAGGAGTACAGGAGTGGGACCCCAAGGGCCCTAAAAGACATGGCAGGAAGAGGGGAGCGGGCAGAACTCAGGGGACAGAGTGTTCGCTAGTGATGGGCTGGGTGCTTAGTGGACCAATAGTCACTGGGGGCTAATTCGTGGGAAATGCAGGACAGATCCTCAGAGCGGAAACGGTTGTTGGTGTGGCTGAAAGCAATGGGATTTCTGAATAACTGAACTGGGGGTGGCTGGGTTGGAGCCCACGCCTGAGCCATATAAGCCCCAGTGCTCAAGGGCCCTTCATAGACGTGTGGGCACAGGAGCCCGGAAGCAGGTGGAGGCGCTCATGCGGGGCAGGGTCAAGAGGCCAAGAGTGTCCACAGTGCAGAGTCCAGCGAGAAGCCAATTCGGGCTTCCGGAGGCCGAGGTTCCCACCAGTCACAGCAGTGCCCGATCCTGGCAATAGGGCCTGGAATGTTTCAGTCGATTCACTTCACTGACTGAGAAGTTTGGCCCGGCAGTATTTCCGGCAGCTCAGCCCCTGATCCGGGCAGTCTGCATGCGGCCTCTCCCCTGTCAGCCTCGGGAACCGTGTCCCCCCCCCGGACCTCGGCTCTGTGCTGAAGAGTCTCCCTCCCTCCAGCCGGGCCCGGCAGGATGAAGCTGCTTCTTGCTGTTGCTTGTTACTTCCTTCTGGCTCAGCTTCCAGCAGGTAAACGGGGATGGGTGGGAGGGTGGGTGGGTGGGTGGGGAATGGGTCAAGCTGCTGGGGCAGACACAGTTCACAATTCCTGCCTGCCTTGGCCACACACGCTTCTCAGGGTCTCTCTTGGGACCTCCCAGGGGTCTCTGCTCCCTCCTGGGATTACTTAAATTAATGTCTGACCTGACCGATCTCTCGCTGTGAATCCAGCTGCTTCTCTGTGATACCATGAGGATACACTCTCCAGGGCTGGCAGGGACAGCTGTGGCATGGGTGTCATTGCCTGCATGGTCGTTTCCCTCCCCAATGTGCTTTGTTTCGCATTTAGGGTGCCAGGCAGGATTTGAGAATAACCGTCTGTTTCTGACAGGTGAGTTCCTTCTCTTGTGTATCATTTTCACTCTTAGAACTCTGACCCGCTCACTCCCTGGGGACACTTGAGCTCATCAGCCTCGCAGGTCACAGAGACACCGGAAGTCGTAGAGTGGCAGTGCCTGGAAATGGTCCGGCTACCAGCACACTATTCTCCTCTCAGCCTCGGGTTCGACAGCCCCCATGGTTTCCATCCATAGAGAAATCACTGCTGCTGCCTTTCCTTCGGCCATCAGAATGTGGGCCTGTTTTTGTGGTCTCCCATCAGTTCATGTTCTGGGATTGGGCTCAGCTATCCACCTCACCCTGGTTCTGTTCCCTGAACAGAGACAGTGTCAGAGGTGTCGCTGCCCCTGTGTGGAGCAGTGGGTTGGAGAGAGAGGCAAGTCCTGAGGGCATCCCCTGTTTCAGAGAGTCTCTCCCTGTGGAGCATGGCAACAGGCACTGGAACAGATAAGACCCTACCTTGCAAAGTGGCCCAGAAGGGAGGAACTGTGCAAACTTGGCAAGAACAGGGTGTCAACACCAGGTGTCCGGCCCTGAGCCTCATCCGACCCCCTAGTCACATGTGCCCCAAATACAGACACTGTCATCTACACTGAGTAAAGCATCCTAGGCACAGCATCTAGCCTTAATTTGGATTGGACCAGGGCAAAGCAGAGTAGGAAATGTGATAGGCCAATAATGCTGAACTTTATGTGATTGGACCTTCCTGGAAAGCTAAGACCCTCTGTAAAATATGTGTGTATTTGGCAATGAAGTAAAGAGTCACTGGCTGCTCCTGAGGTTGCTTCTCCACACCCCTGTCATCCTTGGTCCCACGTGCCCGGACACGCTGAGCAACGTGATAGGGTACAGTTGGGCAAAATGTTCCCCAACATCTCCCAGCGCACAGCCCAATGCTCTGAGGGCCTGTGAGGGGTGCCCTGGGCAGCAGCATCCCAGGAGCATCTGGGAGGGGTCGGGCTGCTGCCGCTGCCGAGACGCACTTGAGGCCTCAGCACTGCTGGGCTCTGGCGCCTCATCCCCACGTTCCCCCAAGAACCTCATCAGACTCTCCCCACCTGGAGCCTCAGGGCCGACAGGCTGAGATGCGCAGTGCTGGGAAGTGAAGAAAGATCAGTGCCTGAGCAGCTTCTGGTACCAGCACAGCAAGTCACTCATTGTGGCCCTGACTCGGGGGATGAACCCAGCCAGCAGATGCTCTCAGAGCAGCTCTGAAGGCCCTGATGTCCCCGACTACCCACGGGGCATGGGGGACCCTCTCAGGGGACAGAGGGACAGTACGGCAGGTCCGGCTCCTGTTCTAGCTGCAGCCAACCTGGGTTCACCCTCCACTCCCCAAAGATAACACAAACCCAATAACAGTGATCCTGGAGGACACAGCATGAACAGCCCTGAGCACTACCAGTGTGGCCCAAACACAAGCACAATGAAAGAAATGGTCTCCTGTCATCGAGGGGCAGTATCAGTAGAAGTTCTTTAAAATTGTGAAGGATTCTGGAATGTCATTGGACAGAGAGAGAGCACAACTCGGTCTCTACCTGAGCCCAGCGGCCTCACTGGGCTGACATGAATGGTCCTCATGCTGCGACTCACTCTCAGGCAGCAGAACCCCATGGTGCTCCCTCCTGCAGGGCGGAGTCCTCAGCTTGTGGTGTCTTCCTTGTGGCTCATGGATTGTGGTGTCTCCTCCCTTCCTTCCGCTTTCACAAGGTTATAAACATGGTAACAGGGTTTGTGCCTACACGCTGCTTAAGAATGGAGACATCGACTGCATTCTGAAAACACAGGCGTCTCTGAAAGCTCTGGGCCAGTTCCTGAGAACCCTTTAGACTCTTAGATACAAATGTTTTAGACTCTTAAACAAAAACCCTTTAGGCTAATAGATAAAAATTCTTTATAATCTTAGATATAAACCCACCCTTTCTGTGGGCTGGGTGTCCTTGGTTGCAGAGCCTCAGGAATGTGTATCAGCAGCTCTCTCTGTCTCTGTCTCTCTGTCTCTGTCTCTCTTACAGGTGATTTTGCTCCATGTGAGCCCTGCAGGCTGGGCCGGGGCAAGTGCAGAAAGGAGTGCCGAGAGAACGAGATTGTCATGGGGAATTGCAAGCTCAGCTTCTTCTGTTGCTACCCAAGGTTCCCTTGAGCTGGGCCAGTTTCCTGTCACCATTTCCTTCCTCCCGGTCATAATGGGAACCCACAAGGTGCCCATATCCTGTTCTGTATTGATATTGATCTGAGCAGTGCCACCGACAGTGTTGTGAGTGGAGTTATGAATTGATGGATACACAATACTGTTTGCATTCCCTCAGTTCTTGGCCTACCTCATGGCGTCCTCAATGCTTCTCAGACTGTATTGGGTCTAGAACAATGCGTCAGATGGAGGACTTCAGCACATTATTCCATTAACTTACGTGTTGTCATATGATGCTCCTGAGCGCTACTTGATGTGGGAAGCCAAGAGCCCTCTCATAGACCCTGGCCATGGTTCCCATGTTAGGAACTGCTTGGGACAGACATTGGTGACAGTCTCCCAGGACTTCCTGATCTCAGCGGATACCTGATCTATAGCCACACATCAGGCTGACAGCTTATCTGGCCTTATCTATAGTAACCTCCAGGATGCATCTACTCCCTAAGACCCTTTGATATACAAATGTAAAGCTCAGGATGCACCTACTGCCACAAGACCCTTTGATGTACAAATATCTACCTTGAATGTTAGGTAAAGCTCTTGTTGCTGACCTTACCATATATGGTTATATTGCTTCTGCTCCTGACTGAGCTGCCAGGACCTTATATAAACAGCCTGTATCCCTCAATAAAGCCTGTCCCTTTTTCTCTCTGTTTCTAAACTGTACTCTGTCTCTTGTGTCTCGTGTTCATTTGGTTGGTCCCTCCTTGCACCATCGGATCAATCCTCGGGCCACCTCCGCGGGCCGGAGAGTGGTTACCAGGGCCCCCCTGCAACTTGAAGCCCTCCACGTCAGATAACCCCCTTCCATAGCACGGGAATCACCAGTACACAATGGCTTCCCCTGCCATGTCATCTATGTCACTGCACTCTGCCTCCCAGTGGCCTCCTCTAGCCTCCTGGGCTCATGTCCACGTTCCCTGGGGGTGGCCACTCCCATCTCTCTCATTACACTGTTTATCTTCTTAGATTCTATCTCAGAGAGAGCCCACAGGACCTTCTCTCTGTCTGACCTGGTCCACTTAGCATAGTTGTCCACGCTCGATCTTCGTGGTCACAAATGGCCGACACTGAGCCCAACACATGGACAGATGTGCAGCACCTCCGAATCAGAAGACTCTAAACCAAATACATGGCAGAGAACAACTATTGGCACAGGTAACCTGGAACAAGAGCAACCAGGTGTCCGGTGAGACTTAAAGCCATGTACCTGAGTGAGCATTGCTCCACTGACCAGGAATACCGGTGCTGGAGGTTTGTGGAAAATGGCAAGTAGTATGTGAGCATTATGAGGGTTTGGTGTGTTTCTCTGGAAGTGACTCCCACCCACACCCCCTGCTCAACCCAAAATTCCTGTCCAGGGCCTGCTGCGGGCTGAACTGAGAGAGACCCCAAACTGGCCTTGTCAGGAGGTCAAGAATCCTTTTCTGAGCCCTCGGCCTTGCCCCATCCTAGCCCTGTTGGATGAAGAAACCAGGGGGAGGGGACATGGAGTGTGCATAATTGGAGACCCCTGCCAGGGAGAGACCAGACACGGGTGCAATTCAGATACTTTATTGGAGGAAAATCACCAAAATGGGGAGCCCCAATGACACCCCGAGCACAGTCCTAATGACACGCCCTGTCATGTTCTGCATACACACAGGACATGGGCATTGCAGAGCCCACCCACCGTACTCACAACCCAGCACAGTCAGGGCACCACTGGTCATGCACACTCGACATGGTCCCTGCCATGGTCCTTGCCCGGCCATGGCAGAACAAAGGGCCACAGTCTTCCTGCTGCCTTCCTATCTCTGTCCACTCCCGCTGATCTGTGGAATGAAACAGCCTCAGACTCAGGAGCTAGAACTCTACTGAGAGTCCAAACTCAGAACATTCCTTCATTCACTCAGTACCTGAGTGCGTGTGCCATCTCAGCCTCCAACTGCCAACAGTACCCCCTGCTCTGGGCCAGGTCCTAGGGGTCTCCAGAGACAGTCTGTACCTGGGGGTCTCCTCCTCAGCTGCAGGGCAGTCCAGGTCTCGCGTGGCGGGGGAAAACGGCTGGTGGGCTTGGAGGGTCAGCTCAATCCTGTTCACCTTCATCAGAGGATGAGGACACTAGGAGGTCCTCATAGAGCACACAGAAGGGGCTCGGGGTGGGGCCCACAGCGGGTCAGCTGCAGGCAGGGTGCTCGGGGACAACGAGGAATTCACAGCTCCACTGGTTCCCATGTAGCTTCTGGAACACCATGGTGAGGGGCTGGCCTGTCAAGGGGCCTTGGGAGGAGGCGGGGGGCTCCTAGGGCAGGCTGGACCCCCATGCCCACAAGGACTGCATACCTGGGGCTGTGATCCTACTTCCGTAGCCTTCAGGTCTTGCTGGCCGATCTTCTGGGCAAGGGCAGGAACTGGAGCCCGTGCAGGGTGGTCAGTTCCAGAGGCCAGAGGCCATAGTGTCCTGTCCATGGCCTCTGCCCATTCCTGTGCTTGGGCTGCTTCTCTGAGGCAGAGGCCAGGGGCCGAGCCTCCATTTCTTCGGGTGACAGTGGGTGGAATATGCAGGTGCACTAGCCGCTCTCTTACCCACTGCTCCATTGCTGTTGCTGAGGGCTCCAAACTGGATGAGTGCCCGAGGCTTGGGTGCCAGGTTAGGTATGCGGGTGGCTGCCCATGCGGGGCTACTGGACAGAGACACGAATCTCTGTGAGAGGCTGGTCTCTCTCCCAGTCTCGGGGCTCTGCTCAGGGCGGGTCCTGTGTGGTCCGTGAGGTGACTCTTGAGCCTGGACGGGTCCTTCAGGGATATGCCCAGGCTGGGCTCTGCATGGCTGCTGCAAGGAGACAGAAATGGACAAATTAGACACACTGATATTTGCGTCCCCAGCTCAGACCCAAACCAGTTTCCATGCTGAAGGTCCTCAGCATGGGAGGACCCTGAGATGGACAGTGAGAGGGACATGGGACCTGGGTACTCCAGGGGGAAGCTGCAGTGGAGTGTGTGAACTCTGCCCTCCACAGGCCACAGCCTGGACAGAGACTCGGCCACTGCTTGCTTCGGGCAGAAACTAAAGCCCACAGACAGGGATACTGTAGGCCTAAGCTTCCCAACCGGGACACCCTTCTGAAGAGACTTAATCTCCCACAGCACCACAAGGGATGTTGCTGAGGGCAGAGGTCACCCATGGTAGCGAGGACACAGCACGAAGGGCACCCTTCTTGCGTGGGCTGAGGGAGGGGAGCAAGGCCCTAACACAGAAGGGGGCCCAGGGTCAGGGAGGAATGAGCAAGGATTGGCATCTCCGTACTCACCCTCACGTAGTCCCAGGACTCCTTTCCGTCTTTCGAGATGACCTGGGTCTTCTGGTCCTGTGTCGTGGGGCATCTCTGTGGCAGACCCCCTCCCGGGCACAACTGTACAAACAGCATATCAGAGAGTCAGTCAACCCGGGCCCATCCCCTTATCGTACCCCTGTCCTGGGTGCCCGACCCTTCCCACAGCCCTGTGGGGGAGAGAAGGGAGACTATAGGGCCTCTGCACCACTGTCCTCCTTTGCTGGACCGTCTTTCATTCCACCCTCCTCCACTCCTCCAGGGCCTCTCTCTGGGTGCCATGACCCTACTCTCAGGCCCCGGGAGAGAGGCACCCTCTGACAGGGAGGAGGTAGGCTCCCTCCTCCGCTCACTCTCCCGGTCTGTCCGGCCAAGTATCCTCAAGGTAGGAGGGAGACACAGAATTTGAGACACAGCTCCAAGATGGTGGAACCGGTCCAGTACTCACCCGGGTGCACAGGTCTTCAAGACTTCGGGCCCCCTGGAGGGCGCTGGCACACAGTGGGGCGGCATGTTCTCCTTCCCCTTCAGGCGTCCCACAGGCTGGAGGACCAGGGCCCCCTGCCATCGCCTGATGGGCACCTGGGGTTCCATGCCCGGTGCCCGAAGGCGCCACAGTCCTTGCACTTCACCTGCGGAGAGAAGGGCCAGAATGAGGCAGGGGCTCCATGAGCTGCATGCAGGGTCAGAGAGGGGATGCCCAGTGGCAGCCACAAGGACAAGAAGCCCATCGCCATGGGCAACCCCTGGGAGATGCTGGCCCAGAGCCTCTCTGGCCACAGTAGGGTGGGACAGGGGGGCCTGGAGGACTCGTCTCGGCATGGGCAGCCCGATTCCAAACAGGCCAACACCCTCCTGGCATCAGCAGCAAACGGAAGCCGGGGCCTGGCAGGGTCTGAGGTCAGAGCACAGACAGCCCTGCCCATGGCACTGATGCACAAGGGAAAGCCCTGCCCGCCTAACCCGGGATGGGCTCTGAGACCAGAGCCAAGAGCCCGGACAAGGCAGAGCCAGGCACGCTCAGTTCCCCTCCCGGCCTGACCCTGGGCCCCCACCCTCCTGCTTCCTCCCCCACCAGCCCACCACTTACCCTGGGATCTTCATGTTTCGGGGCTCCTCCCGAGGGCTTCTTCCAGGCTTGGGCTTTCTGGGTTCCTAGGCCCCCGGGTCGAGTGGGTCGTCCCCACATGGAACTCATCTTTGTGGATATGCACCACACTGTGTTCCAACCACAGGCGGCTTCCTAAAGAAATAAGAAGCTTGAGTCACTCACAGACCCACACATGATCACACACTGAAACCCCCAAACACACGCACACATACAGACTCACGCACACACATGCATATGCACACATAGACACCCACATTCACATTCCAACCACACGCAAACACAGACACCCACACACACATTCTCACACATGCATATACACTCACACACGCACATAGAGACATACGCACACACAACGTGCACATACACACAGACAACCATGCTCTGAGTTTTGCAGGGACCCCCACGCTCCCACTCAGATGCGCCCAGGATGGCGATGCTCTCTCCCGCCCTGCCTCTGCACATACCCCTCTCCCTGCACAGTCCCCAGCCCTGCAGCCCCGCCTGAGTGTATATGAAAAGCCCACTCA